TAAGGAAATTATTCCCCTCTAGTACCCGCGGATTAAAAGAATAGATCCCATCAGGATAGAACAATTATATTCACCGGTGTATTGATACAAAAATAATTGTGTCAGTGAGCCACTCAACAGGAGTAAAGTACACAAATATTTAATTGTGTAGAAGAAGAAGAAGTAGTTCAGAATTTTCGTTGTTTTAAAATGAGAGGAAATCCCTCTATTTATAGACAACAAATGGTAGTGTGAACAAATGCTTATTGTGCCTTATCAGAAAGATCACAACTCTTTGGAAAAGTTACAACCCTTCGAAAAAGTCACAACCTTTCATTAAAGTCACAACTCTTCATAAAAGTCGCAATTCTTCATAAAAGTCACAACTTTTTTTATGAAAGTCGCAACTCTTCATATTTCATTCATACCTTTTAAAATCTAACAACATGTACTTCAGATATCAATTCAAAGCTCTAATAAATGACACTGACATTCAATCTATATTGTACCATCCCTAGACAAAAAAATGATTAACTCAAATCACCAAAGGTTAAGTAAGATTATTGAGAAATGGTAGACTAATGCATGCAACAATGCAAGTATACATAGGATTAAGTTTGACCAGTATTACTATCCGACGATCAATTACTTAAGTAAGTTCAAAGGGGGGCTGATATTTATATATGGGAGATTTGGTGGATGCTTAATTTGTAAGATGGTGGTGACGCTTGTGAAGGTTTCTGAGCGGAGGAAAAGACTAGTTTTAGACATAAATAAATTGAAAGAAAATCTTGGTTTGTGGTGGCGCTACTTAGGCGGCCTAGTGTTCTCTTTATATATATGTATATATGTGTGTGAGAGAGAGAGAGATATGACAGACAGAGTTTTCACTAAAGAAATTTAAAATCGAAAGAATAAACACACAAACTAGTTGAAGGGGTTCAACATCTATATATAAACATAAAAAAAAGTTCGATCATATATAAATAGTATAATTTTTCATCGAATGAGACCCTTGGCCATAAAGTTGGCTTCGCCCTACCTTTATATTAGGATTCAAATCTTTATTCATGATTTTTCATTGTTCAATTTAATGCATGCACATTTATGAATCAGAAATATGAACTTAACTCGATCCGAAAACTAGCTAAAAAAAATTAACCAAATCAATATATCATTCTTTTTTTTTGTCCACGTCTCTTCGACCGACACATAAAAAAGAGAGATTTTTTTTTGTTGGTAATGATCTTTTTCTTATGCTGATTAGAATCTTTCATGTCCGGAAGAACTATTTTTATCTTTTTGTGACATTTAGACAGTAGTAAAGGTACAGATAATGGTTTAATTTTTAAAAAAAAGTTTATTCGAGAATTACTGTCTTTTTTCTCAAAAAAAATACTGTCTTTCACATGTGATTTCAAGCCACATACGCCAAAAAAGTTGAAAATTGTGTCCGTGGGTGAAATTAAAAAGGATGGACGATGCTACTGTCATTTTTCTTTTGTTTTCAATTTGATTACTATTATATACGATAATGAGTTGTTTTGTACCTGAGATAAGAATAATAATTTAAAAATAAAATTTAAAATAATTTTATTCTTATATATAATTTAAGGTATTCATTTGTTTCGAAATTATTTTAAGGTAATCATTTATATTAAAATAATTAAATTATTATTTATATATATAACTAAGGAAATATTTTAATGACCAAAATGAATTGAATTCATATCAGATTATAACTAAGGAGCCGTTTAGCCACAAGAATTATTCATTTTTATCTGAAATAACCCTTTTTTTTTTAATTTTAAAATTAGTGTTTGGTGATAAAGATTTAAATCTGAACTTAGAATTGAATTTCAAAGTTTAAAAAGTTCTCTAAATTTTTAATTTTCGTCTTAGTAAATTTTAAATAAAATGCTCTACTATTTTAAGGACAAAAAATATAACTTCATTTTCATAATGTGAAAAATAATTGAAATCTAGGACCAACGCCTGCTAAATTCTGCCGGTGCTGCTGTTTTATTTTAATTTTTAGCATTAAGATTTTGTGGTTGATTTAAACATGTCAACTGTATACTATGACAGCTTCACAACCAACACATGGAAGCCACACACTGAAAAGCAGACATTTTAGGTTTTAAGATACAATTCCTTCTCATGTACATATTATTATGCGTGTATATCGAGTTATGTAATATATAGTTCATAAATAATGATTTGTTAATTTGTTGAGATTTGTGTAAGTAATTATATATTAAAAAACTAAGTATAAATTTTATGAATGATTATACTTGTTTGTAGATGTTAATATGAGACAAATGAAATAAAAGAAGAAAATAACTTTGCAACTCGCTCAGAAAAATATATTTTTGTCACTATAGATTTTTTTTTAATCTATGAACTAGGTCGATGTTGATTTTAAATTTAGGTTTAAGGCAATCATAGTTGATCAGTTCAGTTATCACCTTAACTTGAAGTAAATTTGATTTTTTTTTTTTTTTGTAAATAGACAACAATAAATTTTGTGAAATGAAGAGGTCCGTGTGAGAGACTTCAAAATATTAAATAAAATATAAGAGAATTTATCTATACATAATAGGAGAGGGAAAAACGACATGTGTCAGCACCATTTTTAAAAGATGAGTAGTTGAATATAATGTGTATTCTGGAGGGAGAGAAACATGGAGAGTTATTCTTGATAATGATCACTTCAAATTAAAAAAAATACAAATTTCTAATAAAGCAGAAAACCTTTTTGATACATTCTAAAATAATTTAAAAAAATATATATTATAAGATAAATTATTAGAATCATTTATTGAATAATCTATCTATATATAAAAGGAGAGGAAAAAATGACACGTGTCAGCACCACAATTATTCTTGAATTTTATTATTTTTAGTTATTTTAAATAATAAATTCAAATTCAATAACTTAATTGTCTTTAGTTAATTTAAATAATAAATTCCATCTTAAAACAAAATAACAATTTAAAACAGTTTTTTAAAAAACAGATTTTTTTAAAGAATTTACTGTCTTATTTTTTATTGTATTGCCGATGGAAAAGTGGCTAATAATTCACTAAATTTTAAAATCCTTTTAATCAGACATTATTATTACTAATAATAATTATAGTAATAATAATAATAATTGAATTTCAAAAATATGTGTAAACTTATAGAAACCACCATAAAATTTTGATTTTTTTAATTACAATAATAATGATAATAATAATTGAATTTCAAAAATATGTGTAAACTTATAGAAACCACCATAAAATTTTGATTTTTTTAATTACAATAATAATGATAATAATAGTGAATCAACCATTTTCAAAAAATAAAAATTAAAGTTTTTAACTCTTATTAATAATAGATAAAAAGCAAAAATGGCCACTAATTAATATGGAAAAATCATTTAAATAATAAATTTATAAATTGAAGAATTATAAATGAAAAAGAAAATCAAAAGGGTTGTGAATCAACCATTTCCAATAAATAAAAATTAAATAACTTAATTCTTATTATTATTATTATTAATAATAATAATAATAATAATAATGAAAAGTAAAATGGCCACTAATTAAATGTGAATTTTTCAAAAAAATAACCAACTCACGAATTTATTTATTTAAAAAAAAAAGAAAATGTATATTAAAAAAAAGACCCAAAAAAAAAGAAAAAAGATAAAATTTAATAAATTCCATGTTTATCTAACTTCCCATTTAAATCTGAAAATTTGTTTAAAGGATAATCAAATACGGCTTAATTTAAATCTGAAAAAAAGAAACATATCTGAAAATGATTATTTTCAAATATGTAACCACCTTTTATTTTTGAATTCCTATAATAAAGGCAACCACCTACTTTATCCATTTGCTTCATTCATTCTATAAATAAATGTCTTCTTTTTTCAGAAAAAAATTATTCGTTTTGTTAGTATTATCCTTTAGAATAATCATTTTTCAGAGTGATAAATTCATCTTCAATGCACAGATGACAGATGTATTGCTTCAAGCAGTGAATTATCATATGCATTAATTTAAAAATCAGGTATTTATCATATGCATTAATTTAAAATCAGGTATGAAAAACTATCCAAGATTTTTTTAAATTACGTACTAAAAATGTGGACTTCTATCGACTATCAATATGGTTGATAGTTGTTACAATTGATTAATTATTTACAGTCTATTGTTCTTCTTCTAATAAAATAATAGTTTGAAAGGAAATTTTTTTTTTATAAAGGAGCATGGGTGATTGTTGATTATTTATATTATAATAAATATAATTCTTTATTTATCATGTGAGTTTCTAATATAAAAAATTAACATGCACTAATATTGGTTTATATCTTGCAGATTTGAGTTGATATGATCCCCGCAACATGAAAATGTCAAGTTGAAAGTGGTGGTGCGTGTGTGTGTTTGTGTGTGTATATTGCTTTTGTGAGGAAATCTACTATGTCATTTGTTAAATTTACAAGTACTAATTTTTTAGACTTATTTTAATTAAAGAAGAAAAAGTTTTACAATTTATGGGGAAAAAGTCATTCTAATGATAAAATTGTACAATTGAATTCACAGTACATAAAATAAAATTAAAAAGAATCAAAACAATTTTAAGCAACACATCACCATTTAAATTATTAATATAAATATATCAATAAAATTGCCATGAGGTACAATGTGTTGTATTTTCAGTGATAAAACTGAAGGAAGAAGTCATTAACATTCTTGCTAAGAGTAGGCAGATTTGATGTTCACTTCATATTACTTCCAAATTTATATTTTAAGAGATTGTGCTATCGTATTTTTCATGTAGGAAACTTATTTTGCTTTCCTAATTTTCTATCAATTTCTATTAGTTTTTGCCTTATCTTTTACATTTTAGTTTGGAGATGTTATTTGCATTATAGAGAATGATGTTTTATGCTATTATTTGGAAATATATATGTTGAATACAAAAATAAATTGATGAACTATTAAAAAATATTGCAATGAAGACATGTATGTGCTAACATATATGCAATCATCTGGGATTTTATAACTGAAGAAGATGATTCACATAATTTTGTCGAAAATGTTCAGTAAGTTCTATTTCTTAATTATTTCATATTTATTAATGATTATCTTTATTATGCACTATGACGAAATAACTTAAAGTAGTGTGATTTTTTTTTTTCAGATTGAAGGATTGCATAGCATGTTGAGGATTGAAGGGTTGCATAGCCTGTGATAAGAAATTTCTTCTTTTTTTTTTTTTAAATTTAATAACTCAAATTTATTATTTATTATAAATTATAATAATAAGTTGAATTTAAAAAATAATAATTCCTCTTTAGCCAATATAATAAATTAAATGATTTTAAAATAATAATTTATTTTAATATATAGGCTAACTTAGGATAAGAAATATTGCCTATTATATCTTTTAATAATCGTGTAAACTAAATTGTCATAATGTAAAATTATTATAGCTTTTTATCCTTTATAAATAAAAATAATAATTAAAGCTAACGTTGAATTGTACATACAAAATAAAAGATACATGGACAATTTTATAAATATATGGCTTATCTTACTATACTAGAAATTGCATTTGAAAATGGAATAAAATGGATGAGATTCACATTGATAAAAGTTAGGATTTAGATTAGTGAGAACTTATATAGTAAAGCTTAATTTGTGTTGTAATTCTTATTTCTTTTGCAATTTAACAAGCTGAGAAGATTTCAATATATGAATGATAACTTGCAAAGTGTTATTTTTAGATTTTCATCTTGATCAACTTTATTTTATCATTTCAAAATTTTCATTCTATCATATAAAATCTCTCCACATGTATTTCAATTTAAAGATAATAATTGATATCATTGCTTTCAGATTTCAAATTAAAATTGATTTGAAATGAATTACCATGTATGTTTTCATGTTATATTCATAATATCACGTTGGTGGCGTTTATAATGTCTAAACTTTTTCTAATTAATATTATAAAAAATATATTAATTATTTATATAAAATTAATTTAAAATTCTAAAAACTATATCCTACTATTATATACATGCACTTTTGTTACTCAATAATAATAATTCATATTAATTATTTTTAAGTTTAAAAATTATTATATTTTAAAATATCCGCACAACGCGCAGGTATGTATACTAGTAACAATAATTAGACGGGACTGACAAATGTAAATATAGAAATAATAATGTGGGTTCATATTATTTGTCAAGATATAAATGAGACAATAAAATAGATAATCACATAACAAAGATACTACAATTAGCTAAAAATTGTTTAATTTTTCAATTATCACAACAATCTTCACATTAAATAAGGTAAAAGGTTATTATATTTTTAATTTTTCAATTATCACAACAATCTTCACAAAGGTTATTATATTTTTAACCATTTTCCCCCTCAAATTTAATTATACATGAGATTTTTATTGACAATAATCTCATGTATTATCAAAAAAATTGGAGCCCCAAACCATTATTTTAGTGGCTTGATAGTCGAGTTTGTGCAACCCTATTCTCATTGTCGGATAAAATGTTCAACTGCTTTTGATGCAAAACATGAATTTATATATATAATCGTAGTAAATAATATATCTGAATCCATAACGTGAAAATAAATTTAATAAATAAAATATTTCAGTAAAGTTGATATATACACATACAATAACGAAGGATATAGTACGAGTGAAATGGAAGGAGTGCTTCAAAGTAACTGATAAAATTGTTATCATGTGATCAGGAGAACACGGATTCATACCTTAAAGATGGTCATTGACAAAAATACAAGATAAAATTACTTACAATGGGCTCTTAATTTTTATTTTATTTTTTATAGTACGAGTGGAATGTCAATATCACGGAGATCTTTTGAGAATTTTAAATAAACGCACCAGTAACAGTTAAGCTAATTTGTAGCTTAATTGAAAAAACACTTTCACGTGAATCTTTTGTCTCAATTTCAATATAGGAATAATACTCTATTTAACTTTATGGGACTCCATTCCAACTTGGCAAGTTGCCAAACCAACTTTCGATTTGATTGCCTACTAGAAAATTACTCCACAGTGAGTAATAAGTATTGACACTTATTTAAGTATCACTTCTTAATTTGAATATACAAAATTAATACTTTAAAGTGAAGTAGTATGCAAGCTACACCTAATCACCTCTGAGATATAAATAAGACTTTAAATTACACAAAAAAATGTTTTGTCGAAATTTTTGACAATTCATCTCTAAATATAAAAGTGTTTAAAGAATATAGAATATATTTGATAGCTCTCGTAAGTATAAAGTTTAAATTTCTTTTAAATTAAACATTGTATATAGTAATAATAAAGAACTAAAGAGAATTGTTAAATAACTCAAATTGAATTAGAAAAAATAGAAAAATAAGTGTGATAATTTCCTCCAAAATTGAAAATCCACGAAGTTCAATGCATCTCACTGACAATCGAGGAAAAAGAACAAATTAAAATGCACATGTAAACTAATTAATTAGTGGAAATTAATACATATGCAGCCAACACACTTTCACGTGAACTAAAATGAACTACTCTATAAATACATGTACCAACAAATGCATAAATTAAATCTGTTTCATTGGTCCACAAAAATTTAGTAGTAACTTTTATTCTGTATTTGTGTTTAAAAAAATTATAAAATATTTATAAATAGTTGATTGTGAATTAATTATTATTTTATGTTTATTTGAGATTATTATAAAAAATTTATAAACTTCAAAACTTGGATCAGCACGATGCTCTTATATTTTTTTTTAGAATTTAGAAATATGCAAATAGACCATGTGCTAATCCGTCAAGTTCCTATTTAATTTAGCAATTAGTTTGAATTAATGATGCCTGTGAATTTTAGCGGGTTAGTGATACGGTTTGACCAGTTATTTTTTTCCAAAAATTATATCATACACTAATTTTTTGGTTACTGATCTTTTAGGCCTAACCAAATTTAGATTTTTCAAAATTGGCTCAATCATCTCTATTTTTCTTCGATATCGTATCATTTAGTAGATTTTTGATGAAAAATTTTAAACGCCAGTCACATTATTTTAGTTGGTGATGAAAAATTATACATTTCTTATGAACACTTGAGAGACTAATTAATTTGATTTTTAACTGTTCGTGATAATGAGAAACTGATGCAAAACTGACATATTCTTTTACATGGCTTATGTCCCTTTTTTACCCCTCCCGGCTTGGCAGGAGCTTTTATCTTTTTGCTTTTTTGATGACTCGAACTGACAATTTTAAGATTGGAAGTGAGAGATGCTTACCATCCGAACAAGCTTCTAATCGGCTTAGTATGTCAACAAATAGAGAGAGAACATGAAAATTAATCTATAGAAAATGCACTACACCATCAAAAATAAAATATATATGAAAGACGGTGCTCTAAAAAAGTGGCAAATTCATATAAACCAGGTGCACTATTGGTGGTATTATCCATATGAGTGTAAGATGCACAATTATCCATGAAAAGCTCTGGCAAGCCATACTGGGGAGTGGGGAAAAAGCAACGTCTCTCAAGAAGGGGGTAAAGATAACATCTCATATGATCACTCAATTATGATTTTTTTCAGTGAAAAGTCACTCAATTTTGATTTTTAATTTAAAAATCACTCAACTATGAGTTTTTTTTTTTTTTAGAGAAAGTCACTGAACTTTGATTTTGTTGAGTGACTTTGTAAGTAGAACATCTATAGTTGAATGACTTTCTGTGAAAAAAGTTCATAATTGCGTGACTTTTGAGTTAAAAATCAAAGTTAAGTGAGTTTTTTTGTGAAAAGAATCCATAATTGAATAACTTTTGAGTTAAAAATTAAAGTTGAGTGAAAAAAAGTTCATCGTTGAATGACTTTAGATTCAACAATGTTAAGGAGCTAAAGAAGACAAAAAAAGATCACATGTGTATATAGATTCTTTAATTTTATTTTTTATATTTAAAAACTATACGAAAAGTATCACAACTCTAACAAATTTAAAATAATTGAGAAAGTGATAGTAGAAAAAAGAAGTCAAATAGTAACATCTTTCATGAAACAGAGGAAGTATGAAGATTGTGAAAAGGGATTACAATGGGAAAAGAGAACTTGTATACAAACAAACCTAAAAGATGTCAATCCTCATTTGTTTACACAAACTTAGGAACATCTTGGGACATATGAAAAAACTAAAAAAAAGTTTCATGTACACAAAAATTTTGGGAAAAGGATGATCTTTGCGGATCAGATCATTCATATAATATACAAAAAGAAACTCCAGACGTTTGAGATCTTGTTAGTATGATCTTAGGAGTTCTTGTGCATTGAAACTGTACACGCATTTGTCCTCCTTTGTGTCAACATATCTCGCTATTATACTGCGTATATGGATCAAAATTCAGATAGAGAAACAATGGATTATCGATATATCTGTGCAAAGTATCTCTATTCGTGTAACAATAACCACCACTTGTTAAGACCTGTACAAGCACCATTGATTATGAATACATTACCAAATATGTAACATTTATGAATGAAGCAATGCACAAGAGATAGATACCCTTTTTCTTCAGAGGGTTGTTCGGTTGTTTGTTCAGTTGTCCAGACGATATCTTTTAATCCTGAAGAGAAGTTCTTGTAAAACTGCAACTTTTAAGGTTCAATTATTAGAGGAGAGTTCATATGTCATGATTAAACGAGGAATATAAACTAGAACGTAACGTGCCTTGTGAAACTCTAATGTATCACCACCAGTTTTTCGAAGCTCAACCAAATGCAATGAGGGTGCTACTTCAAACACCTGAAGCAACAAGTATACAACAATGATGAGAGGTGGAATATGAAGTCGTGATAAAAGAAAGTCGAGCTCAAGAGGTGAGGATTGCTCAAGACCATATAAGAAGTCCAAGTGCATGCATCATCACTAACTGATGTGGGAGAATCAACATAAACGAACTAAGTAATCACCTCTGTTGCTACAGCAAGGTGGCCTTTCCTTCCGGTCCTGTCGCCTTGTAACTTCATCTGGAATAGTCAAGGATACGAAATTGTTTTAAGACAGTCAAATCCTTCGTAAAACAGTCAAATTTACACTAGAGTCAATTGATATCAGTCAAATCCAAACATCCAATACTAAAAGGTGCAAGGTGTTAGTTACCTTGTAATTTTTCTTCTGGACACTGAATCCCAATGGTCTTGCAGTTTCCTCAATTTTGGAGATAATCTCATTA